GCCACCTTAGGTGTATGTGGCTGGCGCCTTAGCCACTTGAGCTACAGGCGCCGAGCCTTAAATGGTTTTTTTTTATTTCTGCAATCTCATTAATGTGCCAGGAAAGTTATTCCCTTCCAAGTATCTCAAAAGGAGTCATCCTAGTGGAACAAAAGGAGATGCACAGTAACAGGGAGAAGAGGGTGGGGAGGACAAGAAAAGGAAACTGCACAGCAGGGAAGCAAGTTTCCAGCCATAGTTCTCCCTCTGCAGAAAGAAGCCTCATGTTTCCAAGCCTCTGCACCTCTGCTCCGGGTCTTATTTCAGTCTAGGATGCTCTCCAGGCTCCCACTTCCTTACTCAAGTATCAAAATCCCATATCAAACCTCAGTCCAAATGCTACATGTTCTTTTTGAAGTCTTCTGCAGACAAATATCAGTCCTTCTCAGTTTTCCTTTAGTGTTTTAATTCTTCCATGATGTCACTTACTCCACATGGGCCTTCTAAATACATTTATCAATGTCTTTACTACACCAAGTTAGGAAATTCAGAATTAATATTTTTTATATTAGTTAATTCTCAAAGAGATAATATGCCTGGTGACAAATGGGCAGTTTTCCTATTAAAGTATTACCCTATTTTTCTAATAACTGAATTCTTTCAGCAGTGAGTTAAGAGTTCTAGGTAGCAAGAAACCTATACTGATGAAAACCTAGAGAAATCCCTGGCAAAGCCTCTACCAATGAAATTACAACTCCAAATCACAGGCACTGTGTACTCAAGGTGTACTGATTAGTTTTTGGTCTAGATGAACTAAGCTGACTAGTCTGCTGCAGGACAGGACTGGCTATGTGTGGACAGTAAAATGGCAGCCAAAAAATCTCGTTTGGCTAATAAGACTGTAGTCTCCACAGTCTTTTATCTCTAGCCTTCCAAAGACGGACCACTTTTGGAAAGCAAAGACAAAAGTAGACTATAATCACCTCGTAATCATATTCAGTCTTCTCTACCTAGTGCCTAACACTGAACGGAAGAAACAACAACAAAAAAAAACCATGCATACTCTGTGTGTGTGTGTACATGTGTGTGCATGTACACTGTTCTGTCAGGAGCAAGACAGGACCCACCAAATATCCAGGCCCCACTACTGTACTACTACTGATTCCTTTAAAAATAGTTGGCCAATTATAATAGTCTTTAATTCCTACATTATTTTTAATCCTAAAAATTACACAAAGAATATTTTATAGTCTGTATCTGCCAATACCAGTATCTGAAGTCTTTGCTGCCAACTAATTCTGCAGTTTTGTGTTTCTTATTCCTACTGAACCCCATGCATGGTTTTGTTGTTATGAGGGGTTTTGTTGGTTTTAATGGAACTCTATCTGTAGGAAGTCTTTGAGACCTGGGTTTAAAGTCTATTATTCTCCCAGAGGGGATATGCTGGTGCATCAGGGGAGCACTACAAACCTTGAATCACGTGAATCCAAAATTCTGACTTTGAGATTTTTCAGCCACACAGACACCATGAACTATAGCCACCAACCTGCATAGGTATGCTCTTACGATTTGGAATTCATAATCATAGAATTACAAGTTAATAATGATTAGGAAAGATTTGCTCCCTTGAGATAAGGCTGAGGCAGGCAAATATTTCTACTATCTTTACAGCTTTTTATACAGCTCATTGGTTTAATCTATTTATACAAAGTAAGGCAGTCGAGCTTTCCTGAGCATATACTCGCTTTAGGAATGTAAAATAATTCCAACAAAGCAACACTAATGTTTTCAATCTAATTTAGAGGTTGTAAAAATAACAGCCATCATTCACTAAGCTTTTACATAGATTATCCCACTACATTCTCATAATAACAATATTCTTATTATTCCCATCTTACAGATGGAGAAAGTAAGGCTCAGAGTAATCAATTGCTAAATACCACACAGCTAATATGTGGTAAAGCTGGAAGGTGAAGCTAAGCAATCTGATACTTAGAAAGGAACAGGTGATTACATTTTGGCCAATGCAGGAAGCAGGTTAGAAGTAGAGCAATTATTCAAGACCCCAAACTCAACCTTCCAAGGAGGGCAGGTGTGACGACACTTGCCCAATGCATTGCACACAAACTTAAGGGCGGGGATTCCTTAGTTCTTCACGTTTAGAAATGTCCTTATAATAGAAATCTAGTTGATAAGGAACCAAGTGTTTAAACACTAGCCAGGCTAATTTGTTCAATGTCTTTTCAGCATTTCTTATGTAACCTAATATGTCCTTTTATTGAACTGCTCACCCTCCACTAGTCAAATTTCAGCTACTATTCAAATCCTTGCTCAAGTCCTAACCTCTCAGTTAAACCGTCCAAAACCACCGTACAAAACCTACAAAATTTACTGTCAATAGGATGGGTCCGCAAAGACTTTTGGGACAAATCAAGCCATGCACATTGGTTACTTACCCTACAGTCTATGGCTGCCAACAGAAGCCATGAACTCCAACAGAAGAGTTAAGCATCTGCAACAGAGACTGTATGGCTGACGATCCTAAACGTTTTACTCTTTGGCCCTTTGTAGAAAAATTCTGCTAACCTTTGGTCTATAATAATCAATGATGGCCATTTAGAATTTGGCAACATTTTTTCACTGTGGGTTGGAATTTAACTTCTTAAATATGCTTGCTTTCTCAAATAGAGTACAAAACCTTTGAGGCAGGGTATTGTTATTATGCCTGTGTATCTCCCATAACAGCTAGTCCAGTACCGAACACACATCAGGGACCTTTAAATGTTGCTGATGAAATCATTTACTCAGCATGATTCAGCAACGATCTTCCTCCCTGGCCTCCTGCACCTTGCCAGCCTCTGTTAAACTATGGTTCTCCTATTGTATGTATGCACTCCCCTTCCAAGTCAGTTTCTATACTTCTAGTGCTGGAATGTACATTTAGAAACTGAAAAGTTAATTCACATCACAGCACAAACAGGATAGTTGTAGGGGTCAAAATCACTGCAGGAGGACTGAGTAGACAAAGGACAGAATAAAGATGAAGCACACTGTTGCCTGATAAGAACAATAATCCCTGCTCTGGCTACTTTCAAGTTTGTTGGGAGGATGGAACAAGATTGCGAAGGTGAAATCACTTGGCAGCAGCCACCTTAGAAGTTGCTGCATTCTCCACCCCCTTAGTCTGTGCTTGTGACTTATAATGTCTCTGTAAGCCTAAAGGGGCAAACTGGCCACTGTTGCTGCCCTGTGTTACCACCACCACCACTGAAAAAACAGTTAACAAAGAGCATAGTGTGTGGTGATGACACTGGACTTGGGGGTCAGACCTCAGGGACTATTTTAGATGTCTGACCTTGGCTAAATCTTTAACCCTCTTTTGGCTTGTTTCTCATCGGTAATATGAGACTGATAAAATTTCCATCAGCGTTATGAAGCAAGTAAGAGAATATATGTGAAAGCAAACTATAAATCTCTCTCTATATAATAAGATGTAATTACCATACATTTATGAAAGAAACACTTCTGAACTTCTGCTATATGCCAAGTACTCTTCTAGGTTTTAGAGAAAAGGCTATGAACAAAACAAAGTCCATCCTCTCATGGAATTTAGAGTCCAACTGGGCATAATAATAAAATAATTTTAATTGCCTGATAGTGACAAATGTTATGAAATAAATCCAGCTGCTTAATACACGTCAGGTGATGAGGATGCTATTTTAAGTAGCACAGTCAGTGAAGTCTCTCTGATGAGGGAGCAGAGACCTGAATGAAAGAGGAGCAGCCACAGGCCCTGAGGGGGGACAAGCACTCCCAGTAGAGAAGAGCCAGCACAGAGGCCCTGAGATGGAGGCTGCTGGGTGTATCTGAGGCACGAGGCAGGCCACTGGGGCTGCACCAGGAGTCAATGACTAAAAACAACCACAACAACAGTCCCACCTGTTATGTACTGTGAAGGAAACTGACAACATAGGATGGGACCTATTCAAGCCTGTTATGTACTGTGAAGGAAACTGACAACATAGGATGGGACCTATTCAAGCCAGCACGGTCACAGGAGAAGAAAAAAGATAATGCAGGGCCTTGGAGGAAGTGAAGGACTTAGAAACGTGTAACTGGTAACAGGATTAAAGCACAGAAGCAGTAGTGATGGGTCATAGGAATTATAATAATAATAATAGTATCAGTAGCTAACAGCACTTACCAAGTGCCAGGCAGTGCCCCATGCACGTTTACCGTATTTCATATAACCCTTACAAAGTCTTCTTGTCCCCATTCACAAATGAGAAAAAAGAAGCCAGAAGAGTTACCTAACTAACTTATCTGAGGTCACGAGGCTCACAGGGCAGGATTTGGGCTCTGGCCACCTGCCCAGCAGGACCACAGCCTCACCCACTGCACTGCTGTGCACGGTGCAATGAAGGAGCAGGACAGTTCAAACTGGTAGATAGCAGCGAGCAGGAAGCGAGAACCGGAGAAGCAGATACGGGGCAGACTGAGGAAGGCCACTCGGGCACCATGTAGCATTTATAACAGATCAGCCGCACATAAAAACAGTCATTTTAGGAAAGTTAGCTTGGCAAAAGAGAAGGGAGATGAAGAGATGGAAAACAATGAGGGCAGGCACAATGGTTCTGGTGTGAGGTGGTGAGGGCCAGGTCCAAGGAAAGGTCAACAGGAGTGGGTGGGGGGAGATTAAATGGGATTTGGAAGGTGAAGAATCCACTGGACAGTCACATGCCATCTGGTGAATACTTCAGAGAATCTGCATAGGGACTGTTTTGGCCAAGTCCCTTAGGATATAAGCTTGAAATCTGGTTCCTGCTGCTTGCAAACCTCCAATCTTTCAGCTGTGAGACTGTGATGCTGCTGACCTTATTTCCCAACCTATCAGCTTTAAGGGCTATTACAGTTGTCACTCCCAAGCTCTGCTTTAACTAAAAGGTCTGCAAAGCCACCTCCTATTGACCTCTTCATCTCGGTATTATTCCAAACAGGTAAGGCATTCAAGCATTTCAGTCAGAGAACATATCACCACTCTAAAACTTGGCGGATTCAATGAATGCAGGTTTTCAAAACTGCATTTCTAAAAATGGAACAAGAAATCTTCATCCTATTGTACCTTCCAGAGATCAAAATCTCTCTTCTGATAAAAAAGGAGACATCTGTGACTTTTTCAACACAAATGTGCTTGTTAAGTTTTAACCTTTTCTTCGCCTTTCTTTAGAGCACTTGAACAAATAGCATGACATGATACAAAAAGTAAAATAAAACAAAAAACCCAAGATGAGAGTGAAAAGCCTTGGTCTTTGTTCTGGCCTGATCACTCAATTAGCTGTGCAGGTCACAGCCCTTCTGTGCTGAGGCTTCCTCACTGTAAAGGAGAAGGTTGGCTTAGGCGCCCTTCCCAGATCTATGACCTCAGGATCTATAATAATGCTCTTTACCTTCTCTCAGAAATGGACATTTAAAATGGAGGAAATAATTAAAGGTTTAAAATAATGTATTTGAGGAGAGACACTTAACATAACATAACATAACACTTCTGTTACAGTTACTGTTCAGAACATAAGCTGCTCAAGGACAGCCGCCACTTCCAATTACTTCCCACATGTAACTGCAAAGACCACATGTGTGGTAGGCAGAGCTGGGGGCTTTCCTCGGTTCTGCATGGGAATGAGCAGGCCCACACACAGGGTGGCACTGGCCTAACAAGGTCCACCGCAAGCCTGGCCTATGCTCTTTACCACGTCCCACCTGTTATGTACAGGGGCGTCTCCTCACCAAACTGAAAGCCTGCTCAGAGAAGCCACTAGCACTTTGTCTGGCAAATGGGACAACATAGAAGTTTCTGGCTCTGGCTACCACTAAGACTGCAGAGGCTGATTTCAGCAGTGGTAGGGAGCTCAAAGTGGCTGAGGCTATGTGATGCAATGACAGAGCCAGGGTTAGGGAGCTACTTGGGGACTTCTCACTCAGACCTTGGGAAGCCAGAGGTGTAGCAAGCATTTGTTAACTGCCCACCACACTTACTAGGAGAAATCAACAACAGTGAAAATGCTAGATGCATCTAGATGGCACTGAGTGTTAAGATTTGGGGAGTTTTAGAAGCTCCAATCCAAACAACCAGGGGTCAATGACTAAAAACAACCACAACAAGGGCATCTCTGCAACAATCACGACTGAGGCCTCCCCAAGGTAGAGGAGAAAGGGGTACACACCCGTGAACCACTGGTTTGCCCCCTGTGGTTCAAGCACACACATGTGGTGGTCTTCAGCATCACTTAATACATAGCCACAGAGCCCAACACTACTGTGTTCCCAGTGCTGCCCTGCCTCCTGCTTAGGGGCACTGAGGTGCCTGGGTCAGGCGCTGAAAGAGGGCTGGGGAGTGGAGTGTGGCAGCCTCTCGCCTATGCTATTGCTCAATTCTAGTTTGCCCCATGTTCTGCTGCTGGAACAGCCGGTGGACTGTACAGTGCAGCGAAGGAAGAGTCTGGGCCCTGCTGCCTTCACCCTACTGCTAGGAGGGGGAGGGAATGCTGCCTGGCTATTAACAGACACAGGTTTCTTAAGTTGTTTTTAAGTGTGAATTTTATGGCACATGAATTATATGTCAATTTTGGAGAAAAAGTTTTAAAAAAGAACAAAAGAAATACAACTATACTGCCTTGATTCTCAAACTTGAGAGTACAGAAAACCAACCTGGGGGTGCTTATTTAGATATGAATTCTTGGACCTCTCTGACAACCCCACCAAAATACTAGTGCAATACATTCAGTGTGGAATCCAGCAGCCTACACTTAACAAGCACATTAGAATGCAAATTATTAGGTCCAAGAATTCATATCTAAATAAGCACCACAGGTTGGCTTTCTGTACTCTCAAGTTTGAGAATCAAGCCAAACCCTGACCAGGTACCAATTCCATTCAACACACATTGTAAACTGACTACAATACGAAAGGCATAATGCAAAGCAATGACAATTAGGATAAATTTTAAAAATAATCAACTAACAGATTTTGCAATATATGAAACAGACTTTAAAAACTAGGCATCATGACAACTGCAACAAAAAATAGCCAGATGTTGTGGCAGACACCTGTAGTCCCAGCTGCTTGGGAAGCTGAGGCAAAAGAATTGCTTAAACCCAAGAGTTTGAGGTTGCTGTGAGCTGTGACACCACGCACACCATGGCACTCTACCAAGGGCAACGTAGTGAGACTGTCTCAAAAAACAAACAAACAAACAAACAAACAAAAAACCTAGGCATCATTGTTTACAAACCATTTAAATTAGCTTGTTATTTTTCAAGAACCTAGAAAAGTGCATTTGGGGGTGTATCAGGAAAAATTAAAACAGCATGGGTTCAGGCATTTGATAATTATAAAGAATGTCTGGAGGCTATTTTAAGTAATAAAAGTGATACCTCTACTATATTTTTCCCTTTGTATTTTCTTTCCCCAAGCAGAATATAAGTTTAGAATTAGGGACCATGCCTTAAAATTCTCTCACATCCCCATAGTGTCTACTCTGTCCCTGGAGCAGACAGAAGACACTCAGCAAGAATGCACTTAAGGAAACAGCATGGTCTATTACCTTCAGGTCACGGTGGATAATAGGGGTTTTGCACTGATGCAGGCGGGCAACAGCTTCACAAGTATCACAAAATATCTGGAGCACTTCATTCTCTGTAAAACCTGTCTGCAGGCGCTGGTTCATCAGGTTTACCACCTGGCCTCCTGAGATGGGTGCAAAGGAGAGGTTATAAACACTCAGACTTGTCACCTGCCCAAGAGAATGAATGGCTATTCACAGAGCGCTGCCTGCACTAAGGTAACAGAACTGACCACTGGCTGAGCCAGCTGTCTTACCTCCACTCTTGGGATTTGTTTCCTTACAATCTGATGCCCTCTCTAATGTGTCAAAAACAGTTTATTTTATAAAGCATTCCAGATGTGTCAGCTGCCCCGTCTTTAAGATTAGTAGTAGAATGACATTATGGCCCTGGTATAGTTGCCTGGTTATACTGTCTCAATTGTGTATGAGATGAGGCCACAGCCTCAACTTGCCATATCTCTGTGTAAGAATCAGATTGCATAATAGATCCAAGAAGCAAAAATAAGACAGTTTTATAGTCTGCACTTAAGAAACACTTGGTCTCTCAGATTCACTGCTAATTGCTTGACCTGCAGGAATGCTAGACCAACATTTATTCTCCAGAACAAAAAGACTGATGGCCTTACTTACAAAATTTACAGATTGCTAGATATTCCTACTACCTGGTCTCTAAACAATTTACTGTCCAAAAAGGAATGAGCAAAGGAAAACAGTGAAGTTGGAATTTGGCAGTATTTTTAGAAAATGAGGTAATAGTCAATACAGTGAAAGCTGAAATTATGGGTTAACATCACATTTGGGGGAATCAGCAACCAGCAGGAAAAATGTCAGTGGAACTGAGGGTGATTACAAAACAGGGCACCAAACAGGAAGACACTGACCTACGCCAAACCTCCAAACAATGATTTTTATGAAACGCAGTCAATTCTGATAAATTCGTGCTAGTTTGAATTTCTGAAGATAAATGTTTTTTGAAACTTCAAGCTTTCAACTACTTAACTCCACTGTTAACAGCAGCAACACTTGAACATAGCTTCACCTTACTAGGAATTACAGCTCTAGAACAGACAGGAGAGTCAATTCCATTAGATGGAAAGGATCCCTTTACCCCATCACACAAGGATGCTGGTGTGAGTGGGAAAGAGAACATACACATGAGGAAGCGGGAGGCCATACTGCTTTTTATTAGTCCATCTGAAATCAGGTCTTTATTATGTGCCTTGGCCATTTGTTTTTTTTTTGTTTGTTTGTTTGTTTTTTGAGACAGGAGCCTCAAGCTGTCCCCCTGGGTAGAGTGCCGTGGCATCTCAGCTCACAGCAACCTCCAACTCCTGGGCTCAAGCGAGTCTCCTGCCTCCACCTCCCAAGGAGCTGGGACCACAGGCGCCCGCCACAACGCCCGACTATTTTTTTTTTTTTTTTGGTTGCAGCCATCATTGTTGTTTGGCAGGCCCGGGCTGGGGATTCGAACCCGCCACCTTGGGTGTACATGGCTGGCGTCTTAGCCACTTGAGCCACAGGCGCCGAGCCGGCCATTTGTTTTAAAGCATCAAAAAGAACATGTTCGCTCCCATTCCTATTTGTCTTTAATATATAAGCACCAAATCTTCTTAAACCTAACAAAAATGAGTTTTATATTATCCATCATTTTCAACTATTTATGCCAGTGCTCCTTGCCAGAACAGGAATAACCAGGAGTTGATAGCAGACTTGGGTGTCTTTTAACCTCTTAACTTTTCTACCTGAACAACATACTCTGGGGGGTAGTTTTCATTATGTGAAATGAGCCCCATGCCCTGATAGTCACAATGCTAGAGAAATGAGAGCTTAAGGGTATGGTTCATATACATACCTCTACAGAAGTCCATCAGGATGAGAACTTCCCATACATCGCCGCTACTCACATTGTTGATACTAGAATCAATGTAACCCACAATGTTCTTGTGCCCTGACAGGTCCCTCTGTGAACAAGAGTTGAGAAATACATTATCAGTAAAAGTTTAATTAGCACAGATAATTTAAACACACACAGATGACACTATCAGTGCTGAGAGGTAAGAGTAGGAGTCAACAATAGGTTTCTTGAGATTCACAGCCAGATCTTCAACAGCAATCCCGTGATCTTACTAAACCAGAGCACTCCAGAACCTAAATTCTAGAGTTAAACACACACAGAATGCCTACTTGCTCACTGCATCAATGCCCCATGTATAACACAAGCAAAGACTCACATCTTCAGAAACACAGCAGAAGGGTTAAAAGCACAGAGACAGTATTGGACTGTTTAAATACACAAATTTTTAATAAAGAGGAATAAAATTAATGTTTCCCTGGTTATAGGAGCCAAAGTGAATCCTACTTGACTTCTAAAGGATTTATACTTTTTCTTCCTAAAGGAAGAAATACACAAAAGGAAATACACAAAAGACTATTTACAAAGTTTTGAAGGAATACGTTTCCAGACCTAAGCATTTTGCTCATAATTAAGCCTTTCAAGACAACAGACTGCAACATAAGACAAGGCATGCTTCTAGCTCTTCAATTGGAACCACAGCCATTCCACTGCTTTGGCTGGGGCATCTCTCAGGGCTGCTTGTGGAATTCATTCACCCAGCAAATATTTACTGAGTACTTGCTGTGTGTCAGAACCGATCTAGGCACTAGAAGCTGCCTCGCATCTTGGTATACTTAGCTGTTTCAATATCCATACAGGTGGATCTTTGTAACAATGATGTTCAAAACTCAAGGTCACTAAGAACTAAGCTAAAGAAAGAAAAAGTAAGTAAGCAGGGTAATGTGATATTTTTGCCCAAATACAAGACAAAATTTTATTTTTCAGAACTAGTTTTACGTTTGTTTAGACAGGTTGGGAGAGGGAGTGGAAAACATGTGGTTCTGAGAGTTACCATAAAACTCAGCAGTCTGGACTATGGGAACAGAAACTATCTACCCAAACTAGAGATTCAGTGTTTAAAGTGATACCTAAACTACGTACCAAAACATGAGGAAGCTTCACAGTAGTGAACACACTGGAACCCTGAGCATCATAGTTAAAAACTTTGCCACAGGCTCGGCGCCCGTGGCTCAAGCGGCTAGGGTGCCAGCCACATACACCTAAGGTGGCGGGTTTGAATCCCCAGCCCGGGCCTGCCAAAACAACAATGATGGCTGCAACCAAAAAATGGCCAGGCGTTGTGGC